CTTTACTTTACCTAACTATTAAGGAGCAATCCGTTTTTGGGAGCGGCCGTTTCAATGCACTCTACGTTTTATTTTTCTTTTCTTTTTTTCTTTTTTTGTTTTGTTTTTCCCTTCTTCTTTTTCCTCCCTCATCTTTTTTAATGCATCTTTTAACTTTTGATTTTGATATATTTTCAAATATTTCTTATTTAAATATTTTTTTACGGTTATCTAAAGTATTATTTTTTCTTAATTACCCTGCTAAATTAACTTAATCTTAAATGGGTCCATACATAAACATCTATTGTCTGTGAAAAATATTTCCCACAAGTTTTTTTTTCTTTTTTTTTTGTCTTTTTCTTGAAATCTTTTTCCTTAAATTTGTCTTTCTTGGCTTTCTTATTTCTTTTTCTTTTACTTTTTTCTTCTTTTTTTTGACAATTTATATAATTATTATTTTAAATGAATCTCGTGCGCGTATTTTTTACTAGTATATATATATATATTTCTAAATAAAAATAAGAATAACAACCATGCCACTTTATTTAGATTCAAGTATCCCTGTCGCAATTAAATAAGAATAAAAATAAGACCTTTGATTATAGCAATCCAAGTTATCCCCAGGGCTCACTCCCAGCAAGTGACAGTATCTCAGATAGAAGCCAATTCTATCTTCCTGCAGCTTACCATCAGGACCTGTATTGCCGCATTCTCGACCTCCATTGATGATGTTGGTGAGTAAACCGTAGCCAGGAAGTCGGTTGGCATCTTTGTCAGCTTGACTTGGCGTCCATTGGCCCGTGATAACATCGTGGCATGAGGGTTTGGGGGCCTGTACAGTCACCCAAAACCATAAGGCCGTCTCGAATGATAGTACGACATTTGTGGCAACCAGATCGGGATTGTGAAGTAGGTCAAATCCAAGTGCGGCTCCTGCTACCCCGTAATTGTAATTGCTGATATGTTTCAAAAACTAATTGTTTAACAAACAATTATGAGAGAAAATAACTGATATTTCTCCAAAAGTAATTAACTAATTACGAACAACCGTAACTTAATTAATACTTAATTCAATTTCTAGATTACTACTTACTAACTAATTTGGATGGGTCCTCGGCCGTAATAATCTTGACCAGGAACACAAGGCCATTCAGTGCTAGGAACACAATAGCCAGCTGGGGTGCCTTCTTCCCTAACAAAGCAATATCCCCAGGTGTATGGACCATCCGGTGGATTCACCCATCCTGTTCCAGCTCCTACACAATAATACATATATACGTTATACCTACGTTTTAACGTACATAAATTTCTTAAGAGAGAGAGAGTAATTAGTACCTGTGGTTTCATGAGAAGTTTGGCCGAAGAAAGCCGCGATCTCTCTCTTACGATCTTCAAGAGTGCCGGTAGCACCAAACTCAGGGAAACGTCTAGCGGCGGTAATGAAACCCTCGTAAGTGTAGAAGCCTATAGCACAATTCTGATTATCGTTTCGATGGAGAAACATTTCTTCGAAGAGCTCCTTAGAAACGATATTGCTGACGTCGTCGGGAGAAACGGGAGGCGGCGGGGTATAAGGAGGAGGCGGTGGCGGCGGAGGAGAAGGAGCGGGGCATTGGCATTGACAGTTTCCGGTGGCACAGTAGGCGTCTGTTTTGCCGCAGTATCCGTGGCTGCTGCAACAATACCCCTCCGGACAGTTACAATTGGGATATTGTGTTCCACATTGTTGAGCCCCGGATGTTCCTACCAACAAGCCAAGGGCCAAGATTATTATAAGACTAGCACTGCGGAAGTTGATCATCATCTTGATTACTTTTTTTCTTTTCTCTTGCAAGTAGTAGTAAGGTGGTTCATGCATGAGATTGCATCAGTGTCTATATATAGAGTTTTTGAACCCCAACTACGTACCTCCAAACCACGTTTTTTTTTTTCCTTTTTTTTTTTCTTTCGATTAGTACTGAGTGTAATATTATCTCCGAAACATGTTCATTTATTTAAAAATATATTCTCTATCCTTCTTTGAACCCTACGTGCCTACTTACAAACCGCACGTTTTTCTAATTTCTTTCTCTCTTTTTTTTTTTTCCGATTTGTACTTGTAGTAATACAGTAAAACCTCTAGAGATTAATATACTTTTAACCATGAAAATTTAATAACTAATCGAGATAAATAAATACTCTTGGGATCAATTGGGTCCGGCCAAAAATATTATTTAATCGAGGTTATTTTTTTTATCTGAGTATTAATTTATCAAGGTTTTACTGTATTACTTCAGCTCAAACATGTTCGTTCATCTGAAAATGTTCTATCATTCTGGGGGTTTTTTTTTTTTTCTTTTTCTTTTTATATGGCGTGAGTTTATAGTTCAGGTATGTGACCTCCAGAGTGATTAACCTATGTTTCCTTTTTTTTTTTTTTAATTATATTGAGTTTAGGAATTCTGCCTTCTATGGAAAAATATCTTCCTAGTTCGTATAAACCTATGTTTCCTATAATCTGGTAACAAAGTTGAACTGCTATCTTATCCTTAATTTTAATTTACTGTCGAATTTTTCGATAACAACATCCTTCTTTGAAGAAATGCTTCCCCTTATCGTAGTACGTAGAGAGCGTTTTTAATTGAAAAAATCTTAACCATTAATACTTCGTTTTTTTTTTCTTTTTTTTAAGGTTGCATTTGGCTTGTTTCTTCTTCCTTATATGAGTGTTTGATAACTATTTTTACTAATCGTTTTATACCAATAATATTTATATGTATACTCCACATCCTACTTAATTCTTTTTCCCAGAACAGAAAGAGATTTTTTTTCTTTTTTAATGTAAACAAAGAGAATAACAAAAACCGGTATATTAATAGACAAAACTAGTACTAAAAAGAAAGTTTATCATATATCCCAAACATACCCTATTTACTCATTACAAACAGAAAAGGGCCAGAACATAATAGACAACACAGAAAAAGAAAAGCATGTGATCAACGTGTTCGTGGTAGATAGCCATTATTGGAGACAAATACATGCATTTATTAGAGGACTGAAACGAATTGTGACATTTCATCAAGAGTGATATAATTCACGATCCAAAACATACTATCCGATAAGAAAGAAATTTGAATATCATGTCTTAATTTATTTTCCCTTCTAGTTTGACCCCAACGGTGTAGTTTCGCCTTAAGCTTGTGGTATTAGCTCTCCGCTTGTTCATATTTAATTTCTTGTAGGATCTTTATTTTTCATGCAGATGTCTGTTAATTTGACTTTTGATGTATTCTCAATCCTTCGTTAAATTTTTATCTTTTGTTCTTATTAATAATATTATATAGAGGGAGAAGCTTAAGGATGTAGATGTCTAGTTGGGATAGTCCTTGATTTATATATATATGTGTGTGTGTGTGTGTGTGTGTGTGCGTGTGTGTGTGTGTGTGTATGTATGTATGCATAAATTTTTACTAAAACAACAACCAGACTAAAAAGAAATTGATTCGTGGATGCATTTGTTTATTTTATATATATATATATATATGTATATATATTATATTCAAGAAAAAGGATCAATGAGTTCTGACGTTCTCTATCCACACAATATTTTACTAAAACAACAACCAGACTAAAAAGAAATCTAACCTATATTTTCATCGACTAGCATCTAGAAAGAGTCAAAAATCACACTAGCCTAAACCATATTCGATAGATTGATAAGAGGTATATAATTTCAGTCTCACTGCGAACATTAATAAAAATCAATCCTACACTGCGTTATTAAAGAACCCTTAGTAGGTCGTATATAATGTCAATCCTACGCTGCGTTATAGGTATATAATGTAATTTATAGAAGCTGTTTGTCGTTGTTCTGATCTTTTACTTGAAACAATGTCATTTCTATCTAATCAAAACGCCCCATGTTTCGTCTAACATATTTATTAAACTAAAAATAAATTAATGAAGAGTAAAAGATAAAAATCTAAATCTATACTCTTTTATTTGTTTCCTTTTTCCACACAAGAAATTGAGGAAAACAATGTTGAAATCAACCCCGGCCCAGCCTAAGCTAAATTAATTTCGCCCAATATTTTTTAATAGAATAATTCCTCTCACACATATGGTATATGCTTCTAGGATCCTAGTCTACATAGAGTGACATATTTTTTACTGTGCCCATTATTTTTTTTAGTGTTTTTTCTTCACGTGGTTTTTTGTTTCTTATCGTTAGTGGGCCTCACAAGCTCTAAACAGATGATGAAAAACAATGGTGGACCAAAAAAGTTAGTTTGTCAAAAAATACTTTTTGGTGAGCTAGACCTGGTCCCCGAAAAACGTACAAATCATCGACGATCTATGTGGTTAGCAGTACCTTTAGTGTCCTATAACATCATTCAAATAACTCATTTTAACAACGTGGTCACTATATATATATATATATATATATATTTAGTTATGTTCCATCTACATCACCATTATATATATGCACGGATGCTTCATACTCCTCAACCACGCATTTTTGTGTTTTTTGTTTTTTTATTCACTGATGCCAACTTCTTTATTCTTTCTAAAAGCCAAAAAGAATTCAGAATTAATCTGTGAACAAACCATAGTACATCAGCAAGTTGTATTGCATCATTTACAAGAGCAGAGGATACGTATGACATAACTAGTTTTGTTTTTTGTTTTGTTTTATTTTTATTTTTATTTTTTTTATTTTTATTTTTGTTTTTTTTGTTTTTTTGTTTTGCCTTTTCCATCCGAGAAAGGAGAGGAAAAATTTCCATAAAAAAGGTTTAACACATCCCAAAGATTTAATACCAAGGACAAGCTCCCACTCAATATGTTGACTGTAAAGAACTAAAGTACTTAACTACGTACAATAAAATAGTAAACTAGTTCATATAGGACAAAAAAAAAAAGGTGGGAAATTTTTGGCGGAATAATAAGGCGTGGTGGATGAATGATGGACGGAGGATGGATGTCGGAGAACGCATGAAACGCCCAGCCCGGTGACAACGCCTCAGCAAAATAAAGCGCTGATCAGGAGCTATACCAGAGTTTTCTCAGCAATCAATCAAAGAGTAATTATATCTATAACCTAAGAAAACGAAATCAAAATTCATAAAAAAGACAACTAAGAAATCCATCAAGCATAGAAATTAATGAAAAACCATCTTCCAAATCGTACTAAAACTGATTTAGAATAACTCCAACCGGTAAAACCTTATAACAATATTAGTCTTCAAAATAAGTAGAAAGAAGTTAAACTATATATATCAAATTACAATATCAAACACAACAATTAATATTTACCCTTTATCCATTTTTTCTTTGTTATCTCATAACTCTAATCAAGCAAATTTCATAATAATTTTACTAATCGTTTTATACCAATAATATTTATATACTCTATCCTACTTAATTTTTCTCCCTGAAAAGAAAGAGTTTTTTTTTTTTTTTTAAATGTAAATAAAGAGAAAACAAAAACCGGTAAAATAGACAAAACTAATACTACAAAGAAACTTTAGCATGTATCCAAAAGTTGTACTACAGGGAAGAAAAATGCATGCGATCAACGTGTTCAAACTAGATAGCGAAAGGAGATGAATATATTTGTTAGAATAAATAATAAGAGACTGACATGGATTGTGACATGTTGGATCCGATATGAAAGAATTTCAAATATGTTTTAATCTATTTTCCCTTCTGAGTTTTACTATTAAGATTTTAAACTCTTATATACACAAAAAAATTTCAACCTTACTAAACCTATTTTGGAAGCTAATTTTCAATTGTGTAGTTTTGAATTAACCTTATACGGTATTAATTTTTCGCTTGTTCTTATTTAAATTTCCCGTAGGATCTTTATTAATATGGTGTCAATTGTGTATTTTTTTTTTTAATGTAAACAAAGAGAATAACAAAAACCGGTATATTAATAGACAAAACTAGTACTAAAAAGAAAGTTTATTATATATTCGAAACATACCCTATTTACTCATTACAAACAGAAAAGGGCCAGAACAAAATAGGCAACACAGAAAAAGAAAAGCATGTGATCAACGTGTTTGTGGTAGATAGCCATTATTGGAGACAAATACATGCATTTATTAGAGGACTGAAACGAATTGTGACATTTCATCAAGAGTGATATAATTCACGATCGAACACATACTATCCGATAAGAAAGAAATTTGAATATCATGTCTTAATTTATTTTCCCTTCTAGTTTGACCCCAACGGTGTAGTTTCGCCTTAAGCTTGTGGTATTAGTTCTCCGCTTGTTCTTATTTAATTTCTTGTAGGATCTTTATTTTTCATGCGGATGTCTGTTAATTTGACTTTTGATGTATTCTCAATCCTTCGTTAAATTTTTATCTTTTGTTCTTATTAATAATATTATATAGAGGGAGAAGCTTAAGGATGTAGATGTCTAGTTGGGACAGTCCTTGATTTATATATATATATGTGTGTGTGTGTGTGTGTGTGTG